CCAAATGGAGAGGAAGTATAGGAAAAGGGGAGAATCATTTTTTTTAATTCCACCATTCCACAAAAGATTTTACCTTTTCATTTTCCATCCACAAATAAAGACCCTTGATCTAGGAGTATGACTGATGATCTTCTTGAGTCCATATTTTTGGCTTTGCAATATATATGATGCAGGTATGCCCCGATTTATCCCTACCAAGCTCCACATATCAGCCTTAGAATAGGGATGAATTATGGCACATTTTTCCTTGGTAAGAATCCAAAAAGAAAATATACATCTGTGAGAAACAAGAGGGAAAGTCAATATGAGGAAAAGAGCTGGTTTGTGAAAATTCATAAAAAAAATCCCATGAGTTTGACGGAGAAGCAAGAAGGATTGGAATCGAGATCATTCCATTTGTCAATTACTTAAGATGGTAAGATAGCCACTGATAAAGTTCACAGGTGCAGGTATGGTTGTGAATGATTTATATGCTTGATTCATATCTTGAAGAAATTCATTATGCACTAACCTTTACTCAGGGACGAGCAAAGGACTAAGTGTGGGGGGTTTTGTTGGCGGCTGTTAAATGCCGATTCTATACCGCCAACATCTGCATAAAGTTCGGATAATAAAATATCCAACATAGTGATAGGTGCTTAATCTCACATATTCCACAGTGTTGGTGTATATTTGTATGCAGGTGATAAACTCCGATGTTGAGAGGAAATCTAGACTAAAGTGAGGAGAAATATGTATCCATACAAGGATGGGTTGTGAACTTCGTAGAAACACCAGAGAATCAGCCCAAAACACCTAAGAATGGATAAAGGAGGATCAGAGGAGGAGCCAGGCCAAAGGCCAGGCCAGGGGGGCCCAGCCCAGGTTCGGACGAACCCTGGTGATCACCATTGATCCCAGGTTTTGGCATGGACGTCCCAGATCACTCCCTGATGGCGGTTGCGGGGCACTTCGGACATTGCCCCTTCGATCATCATACCTACCCCTATATAAGGACATCATCTCACTCACTTTAACACACACTTCCAAGCTTGAGCTGAATTATAAGAGGCTCTATTGTACTATATTATATACTAGAATAGGAAGAGAGTAGAGTAGAAGGAGTCGGAAGAAATTCGGAGTTGTCGGTAATCTTCTCCTATTCCTTTTATTCTGTTTATTACTCTGAATTCAATATAATATTCTTCTTGAGTAATTTAGATTTATTTTGTGAGAATTATCTCTTGGTTAGTTCCTAAATAGCATACGGGATTATTGTTCACTATAATCAACTAAAATATAGTGATTGCTTTGGTGAGTTATAAACACTAAAGTAGATAGTAATTGCTTAGACGTGGTGTTTAGGTAATTGTTATCCAGTAATTGTTGCATATCCCACAGTACGTTTGAGGTGGGTGTAGAGGTGGTTACAGCCCTCAAGATCACTTAAGTCCTTCCTGTCCGGGTACGTAGTAGAGCGACATCTGGGAACAGTGGGTTGCCAGTGCATGAAGTATAGCATTAGGATTAAAGTTAAGCTTTCCCTAGACACTGTTTCTCACTAGTAAATCCTCTCTATCCTGGCATATCATTTGCTTGGTGTCCTTGGATGAACCGGAGGAAGATCTGACCACACACGTTCCCTTATATTCGATACCCTTGGAATACTCCGTAGGGGAAGTGCTACATCGGTATACCCGTGCGCTTGCGGATTTTGTCTGTGATCGTAAAAAATACCAACAATTGAACCAAAGGAAAATTTTCAATAGGCTTTTATCTTTTACTTATTTTTCTATGAAATTGACGATAGGATACAATCATAAAGAAAATCTCATATATCTTCTTTCCATAATTAAGAGAAATCATTTGCTAGCCCTCATAATTATTAAGCTTGCCTCGCTGAAAAAACTAAATCTTTATACTGTGCATATCTCAGGACGGTCATGTTGAAGCTCGCATCACTGAAAAATACTTTAAAAGAAGTCATCTGTCCAATAGTGCCTCCATTAACTAGCAACCACACCATCATTGTGAAATGGGGAGTTACTAGGAGTGATGTTGTACACCTGGTCAGCATCGGCCCACCTGTCAGTCCCCACCATGTGGCGCTATCCCCTCGGCCACCTAGCTACCTACTACTCCCTCCGTCTCATAATATAAGGTCACATCCCACCAAAATCTGTTACATTATGGATGGAACCCTATCTAGATTTATAGTGTTAGGATGTGTCAACCAAAATTCTTATATTATGAGACGGAGGGAGTAGCAGGCATGTCATGGCAGCAAATTCCGTTTTTCTCTCCTTTCCTTAGCCCGGAAATTCACACCAACGCCCCTACAACCCTAGCGCAGCAGGGGGAGGGCCACCTCCAGGTGGGCCCTGCACCCGCGCGACGTCAGCGTAGCGGGTGGCAATTGGCCCTGCTCTCCGAAACGGAGATTCCCCCTGCTACAAGAATCGCCACGGTTTCCATTCCACCCACCAGCGAGTACCCACACACGTGACAGGCACGCATGCGCTCTCGGTCTCGGTCTCGGTCTCTGCCCCCTCACGCGCTCTGCCCCCGGCGCCGCGGCCACGCCATGGCTGCCGCCGCGGACTCCGGCTCCCCCCCCTTCCCTCCCTCCCCTCTCGCTCTCTTCTCTGGTGGCGGAGTCCCCGGTCGGGTTATTATTATGCGCTGGTTCCGGTTTTTTTTTCTTTTCTTCGCCATTTCTGCAGGGGCGGAGGAGGGGTGGGGGGACTTTTTGGGGGGTTGGAGATTGTGGTACATTGCGTTGTTGGGCGAGGACTTGGCCGTGGCCACGATTCGTCGTTCATGGGGGATGCTTGGGATTTAGGGTTTTGGTTTGGGTTTCGAGTGGGGATGAAATTCCTTTCATTTTGAGGGGGCTTTCTTCTCCGTTCGCTATTCGTCGCGTAAGGCGCTTTTGTGTGGTTCGGGCTTTTCTCGGTGATAATATGTGGATGGTAATGTTGGCTCGCGTCCGTTGGTCGAAATCTCCTGTGATCTTTTTTTGGATCGTGATGTCATGCATTAAGCACCTGTACATGTACACCTCGATTTGAGTAGAACAAGGTCTGTATTGTGCTTGGAAATGGTCGGGAAGAGTGATTTCCTAGCCGTGCTCCTCGGAAACAAACTATTTATGACATTTGAGGGCTTTTCCTATGAGGAAGAAGAAGTGCTTGTTCTACTCCTACCTCATTTGTTTGCTTGCTTGCTTGCTTGCTTGTTTGTTTGTTTGAGTGAACTAGGTTCTGGATTGGAGCTTTTTTGCTTTGCTTTGGAGCCTGCATAATGTTTCTAAAACGCTGACTGCAGAGGATCTCAATCCAGCGGTGGGGGGCACACTGAGAGTTATGTCGTGATTTGAGATTCTCATGGCGTACAAGGGAGGTGTTTGTTGAGAGAAAATAACCATTCTACCATCATCGAAACGGAGATTCGCTAAAATACCACTCCGCATTTGGGATTCACCAGAATGCCGCTCTCAAGTGTGGGGCTTTAAATGCCATTAACTTCCATTTTTTAGAACTAAAAATTGTTTCGTCGCTTCTCTCCTATGTTTAATGACCAAAATACCCCCGATTGAATCCATCAAAATTCCTCATTCTTCTTTCCTACTCGAGCAGGAGCAGCGGCCTGGGAGTTAACTTCCATTTTTGAGAACTAAAAATTGTTTCGTCCCTTCTCTCCTATGTTTAATGACCAAAATACCCCAGATTGAATCCATCCAAATTCCCCATTCTTCTTTCCTACTCGAGTAGGAGCAGCGGTCTGGGAGCTAGGGTTGGCCCCGTGCCACCTTGCCGTTGCCGCTCCTCTTCTCGCGGGCGTCCCCGACCCCCGTCCCTACGCGCCACCGCCGCTCCTCTTCTCACTCCGCCGCCGTGCCAGTACTCTTCTTCTCGTGCCACCCTGTTGCTGGCCCACCTCTCCACTGCCACCGTCCCTCCCCTCTTGTCGCTCGTCAACTGCTCCCACGCGCTCTTCCTAGATGTGTGAGCTCCCACTTGATTGGATTCAATCGGGGGTATTTTGGTCAGTAAACATAGGAGGGAAAGGACAAAATAATTTGTAGTTCTCAAAAATGGAAGTTAATGGCATTTCGGCGAAGCCCCACACTTGAGTGGCATTGTGGCGAATCCCAAATGCGGAGTGGCATTTTAGTGAATCCCCGTTTTGATGATGGTAGAATGGCAATTTTCTCGTTTGTTGATGGCACTTGGGAAGTGGGCGTTTGCAGATGGTGCATATAAAGAGGAGTATATTTCACAATACTCTTTTAGTTTATTATGCCAAACCATGGTGATTTATGATTAATGACATCTATATACTCTAAACTATTCGACCCTACGAATTTCAATTCATACTAATTTTCTTGTCATGTTGAGCCATATCATCCTGAATCATCATGGTTATTGGATAGTTGTTCTGTGTCTGAGATTTGCAACCAGATCAGACCAGCCGCTCTATTCACATATCGAGCTCTTATGTGATACTTGCCTTATGTGCTTGTTGATGTTGTTTCAGTATTGTTCGCTATTATATTATAGAACATCCTAAATAACTTTCTGTTCTAAAATTAAGAGTTGTGCATTAAGCTGACCATTCTTCTTGACATTTGCACAGTTTCAATGTTTTGCAGACTGAGGGGCTATTCAAGCATCATTTGGTTTCCTTCCCAACCAAAACCTGTTCTTTCATGGACCTAATCTGTTGTTTTCTCTTATTATAACTTGATACCCCAAACCACAACCAACATCTCCTCTGATTTAATCAATCTGCTGTCTTTGTAGGAATGTATTACCGCAGGCAAAGGAAGGCTTCTTCTGAGGCCAACGCCAATGTGTTTATGCCTGGGGGTCCAAATGGTATCTCATTTCCTGCATCAAATAGGGCTCATGATTGGGGATATGGCGGTGTTGGCGAAGAATGGGAAACTAGTTATGCTCGCAAACTCCAGTTGATGAATTTTCTTTCTGCACTGCATCAACGCGCTGCAAATTCTTTGGTAACCACTAGAATGGATGCAAAAACAGAAGGACAGCTCAGCAATAATAGTTCTTGATTCCGATGATGAGGACGAATACACGGAAGGATGTGAACAGCTCACATCTGAGAACAATAAAGAACAGGCACCATCTGGACCCACTAGTCCTTACACGACATGGATTGTATCCAGCACGAAAGACCAAGTAAATGGAACCTTGCATGTTGATGGAGTCCAAAGCACTCAAATTGTTCCATATGGTCAAAATGCACCGTTAATAAATCAGTTCCCTTTGCAAACCAGCTGGCAACCATCTATCCAATATGAAAGGGTTATATTGCAGAAAAGACCTGAGGAGCAACGCGTTCAAGATCTGGTGGTATGTATCTTTCACTTGAAATTTTTCAATGGACTATCCACTTCGACATATTGGTACTTTTACTCCATTACATACCTGCACTGATAAACCAATTTATTGCATCATGTCTTGTGATTGTATTTTGATAAATCTGAAGAGCATTATGATATTTCTTGTCTGGAATGTTAGAATGGAAATGTTTGATGTTTGTTGAATCTATACTCTTTTGAAGCTTAAATATCCCATATTTGAACTTTAACTCTTGTTGCTCACTGTAGGCAGCAAGCCATGCAGAGAAGATAGCAGAAACACAAGTTCTCCTTACTCTTCCTACTCTTCCTACTGAGAGAAAACGAAGGAAAACAGAACCCACCACCCTGGTAGATGTTGATGGTGGAACTAACCTAGGAAAAAGAAAAAGGAAAAATCATCAAAATCAAGCAGCAGTTGATTCAAACTTGGATTTGCAACAAAATGATGTTCCTTCACAAAGCTACAGGACTATGATAGAAGAGGAGAAACCTGTAAAAGAAAGTGAAGGTCTCGAGGATCTTTGGAAAGATTTTTCATTGGCTGCTGAATGTACAAAGGTACAAGTTGTAATCACAGATGTTTTTTTTTTACTTTTATTCTGCAGCATTATAAAATTGTTGGTTCTTTTTCCATCTGACTGCTAATTGTACTCGTAAATACATGCTATAATCTTTATTTTTTGTTTCAAGATTGAATACCACTGTGCACAAAGTAAGTTTCATGGCAAAGTGTATTTTATAAGATAAGATAGAGTTTGAAAAGGCATTCATTTGTCAAATCATTTAAATATGTGTATTATGACAAAGTTTTGAAGCATTTCAATTGATTATTTCTATCTGATTTGTGTCTTTTTCCAATAAAGCTCACGTAATATTCTTTGTCCAGCTTGATACAAATGAAGACATGTCCAATGAAAAAGATGTGGATGATGAAAATGAGATGGATGATGACTGCAATCATGACATTCGGATTCATGAAGATCTAGGCCACGTATGCCGTATTTGTGGCATGATTGTTAGAAAGGCTGAAACAATAATTGATTATCAGTGGAAAAAGGTGCGTACCATGTTTAGGACATGTGATTCTTCAAAGTTTTCAAAACTGTGATGTCTATGATTCTAGTTTTACTTTGAGGAAATTATAAGCAGACAACCAACTTTGGGAATTGTTTTTTCATAAAGAAACTGCAAGTTAATTATTTACATGAAACCCCTCATGTCCCATACAGCGTCAACTTTTAAAGCCCCAAGCGTTAGATCTGGTTATACTTGACACTACACACCAAGAGGGTCTAGTATATGAATGTTCGCTATTGGACAGTCACGCGAACGGTTCCGACAACCTTCGTCTTACTCGTACGTCTAACCACGCCTGCATGCAAATATCTGTTACTAATACGTGTTCACATGAGAGTTGCTCTAAGCCTGCCTTTTCAAAGACCAAGTCCACCTATGCTTATGTTATTTGATTTTCCTAGAATCGTACACATGTTCAACGTATGACGTATGTCAACAGTAAATGTTGGTTCTGTTAACAGTGAAATTTGGTAATCGGCAAAAACATCATCGGCTTAGAATCATTATTGGCTGCAGCATCTCGGAATTAGCCGATGGGAGTTATCAAGTCACCAATAGTTGGATTCCTGCTATATTCGGTTAAGGAAATCAATCTACTAAAGAAAGCTTATCCCTAAGTGACCGAGTTTAAAGAGGATGCGGCATGGTAGTTTATCTATTAATTAGGAATAGTTTGTTAGTTTCCTTTTATCTTTAGGAAAGTGTGTTTAGTGTCCGATAAGGACATTATATTTTCCTTTTATCTTTAGGTTAGTTTCTTTCTTGTCCGATAAGGACTTATATCAACCCCTGGGTATAAATATGTACACCCGGGGTCTATGTAATCTATCTTCACAATAAATACAATTCGGCGCATCGCCACATTTTACCTTTTCTACTTTATTTTATTGTCCGGCGGGACTTGGCACCTGACGCGGGGTTGCATCGGTGTTCGATCTCCAGCGAAGGGGTAAGTCCAATGCTCCGCCGGTCCAGGCAATTGTATCGTCTACGTCGGCGTCGTTCAAGACTGCATCAGGACATTCGACCTCTTGGATTACTCTGGTTTGGATGATATATTTGCCTACCTATTTATCATATGTCTATGTTAATCTAGTCCTAGCATCTCAATTTAGCTCTATCGGCTGCTTCTCGTTTTAGGGTTTCTGCCAGTATCGGCTAAATCGCGTTGCTAGATTAGATTAGCTTAGACATCTACCACCCTGAAAACTCAGTCAATGGCTTGATTGTCTAGATATTATGTTTTTTTTCATACTTAGTGCTGCATCAGTTAAGTTTGATCTACTAAGTCGTGCTTAGAACCATAATCTCTAGCCTGCTTCTTGATTGCTAATAAGGGTTTCATCGGGGTTTCAGCCGATGAGTTATCTGGATGTTGCATCGGCTCATGAGGATTGCATATACATATAAGTAGGATTTAGCCGATGACAACAAAGATTGGTTTAAACTGGATTATATTGTTATTTTATTACATCGTTGTCAGCCGATTGCCTTTATATCATTATCTACATTAGACGTATAGCCGATTGCTTAAACCCTATCGCTATCGGCTGGTATCGGCATCGGCTATTATCGGCATCGGCTGGAACTACTCCATCGGCTTGTCAGCCGATCGGCTGTTTTGATCTACTATTTGCATATCTTGTCAGTTGCAGGATCAAACTGACTGGCACGCTCGAATCTCGTCAATATTTGGACATGCACAGGAGCTAAGTAGATCTCCCAGGCCAGTGTGTTCGATTTTTTTTTCAACAGGTTCGATATATATAAAACTATTCTATACCCCCCTCCCTCCAACCCACCTCCCCTCCCTCCAAGAGGGCAAACCCCCCCCCCCCTCTCCCACATGGTCAAAGGTCCCCCAAGTTGGTCAAACCCGCCTGTGACTTTCCCCACCACCTCCACTCTTCTCAGCTCTCGTCTCCAAATGATGTAGTAACGTGATGTTCATCGTGCAGTAACACCATGTATTACTTGTAGTAATAATATTGAAATGTAGTCATAATATAGTCATGTCGGATCTACTTTTGATAAGCACTTTTTTTCTAACATCATGGTGCAAACGGTTTTTAAAAGTAGTACATGATGTGAGAGATATTACCCTACAAAGATTGTTTTTTAAAAATTTAACTCTCTACAAGCAGTAATACTATATCATATGTATTACTATTGTCTGCTATGTGTTACTGCAATCACATCATACGATTACTACATGATGTAGTAACGATTATAAGTTTCACAGTAACATAGTGTGTTACTGCGATTTCTTGATAACGTTACTGCACGAATGCGTATAGTAAGAAAAGAAGTGCAGTAATTGGCTCGGTTTAAGGTGCAGTAACGTTCTATATGTTCTACAGTAACAACGTGTTTTACTGCAGTTATTGGATAGTGTTACTACATAAACATACGGTAATATGTAACTGTCAGGTGGTAACATGTATAAGCCGGTAACGTGTATAAGCCGTGCAGTAACACTTTTACTTTCGTATAGTAAAAAGTATATGGTTAGCATGTGAGACTTTGAACTCATATATTTTTTGTTTCAATTCCTGATTTAATGCAATTCACCACAATATTATTGTCAAAAGTGTAGTAATGTCATATACATTCATGCAATAACACTATATTGGAGGGAGGAGACCGATTTTCTTGAGAAGAGGGAGGAAGAACGGTTTCTTGAGGAGGGGAGTATGTAGATGCATTTTGAAGTTCTACCCTCCACATGCAGTAACACTATAGCATCATTGTGAAAACGGTTTTGAAAAATAATACTTATCTTGTGAGATATTGATTTTCGAATATTGGCATTTTAAACTTTAACCCTTCACATGCAGTAACAGAATATGTAATTTGCAGTAACAAGGGCATATACATGCAGTAACTTAGTTTTACCAAATGTATAAAATTGTTCAAAACACTCCTACCTCAATCAGACATCGCTCAAAGCCACCTGCAGACTTTACCTATAGTCCACCTATTCGATCTTCATCTCGTAAAAATGATATAGTAAAACTACAATTATCGTGCAGTAACATAGCTACTTGGAAGTGGTAACATGCACCTATTATGTAGTAGCACTTCTACTTTTATGCAGTAACAAGTATATGGTTAGCATGTGAGGCTTTAACTCATATATTTTTGTTTCGATTCCTGGTCTACTACAATTTTACCATGATGTTACTGCCAGAAGTGCAGTAACGTCCTATTTGTTCTACAGTAATGTGGCATGTTACTGTACTTTTACGATAATGTTACTACTGGAGCATAGTACATGTTATGAGTTTCGTAGTAACATATCTTTGTTTTTTTGTTTTACGATGGTAGAGAAAGATATTAGAATTGATAATCATATTACTTTCTCACAAAATTCTTGAAACAAATAGCACCATTAGATAAATTGGTTAGAAGAATGTGCTTTGACCTATGAGGTCATGGGTTCAAGTCTTGAATTTAGCAATTTATTTTTTATTTTCCTAGAAAAGAGAAAAAAGAATGTTTTAAGGAGAAAAAAAGGATCGAGAGGGGGGAGGGGGAAGCGAGAGAGAAGGGATCGGGAGGTGGGAGGGGGAAGCGGGAGAGATCGGGAGGGGAAGGGGGATCGCGGGAGGGAGGGAGGGGGGTATAGAATAATCTCACCCTCTATATATAAGATCGGGAGGGGGGAGGGGGAAGCGGGAGAGATCGGGAGAGGAAGGGGGGATAGTGGGAGGGAGGGAGGGGGTATAGAATAGTCTCACCCTCTATATGTATATATATGTATATATACATATAGATACATATGTACATATGTATATATATACATACATATGTATATATATATATATATATATATATATATATATATATATATATATATATATATATACATATACATATGTATATATATACATATACATATGTATATATATATATATATGCATATGTATATATATACATACATATACATATGTATATATATACATACATATGTATATATAATTTTTATACATACTGTTTATACGTACATGTATAAAATTACATTCCTATTTTATAAAAGAAATTACATTCAAATTTTTCATCGTACTTTCCAACTAAATATATAAACTCTCGTAAATAAAGTTTATATACATAAAGTTTTTATATGTAATATTTATGTGCATAAAGTTTATACGTAAAGAGTTTCTATACGTAAAGTTTCCATTCAAAATATACTATCGAAAATTTAAGTACTACTAAATTTCTGAATTAAATTTTAAAATACATTAAAAAAACTCTAATCAAAATGACCAGATAGAATGTCGCATTAGCCCATTCATGCTGGCCGCCTAGCCCATTAATAGCTCGAAGCTGATAACGTGCGGTGCAGCAGCAGCACATCGTGCGAAACAGTCGTGCTTTTGGAGCTCTACGACTTGTTTGGTAACTGAAGGGAAGGGGATTAGGAGTTTACACGAGAAAATTGATGATGAGATTAAGATGGAAATTTGATTTTTAATCCCAATATCTTGTTTGGTAGAGATGATAAAAATTGATAGGGAGTTTAGTTGGAGATTAGGTCATTAATAAAAACGGATGGCTGATATTTGCTTAGACAAAGTAAAGGAGGAATTCCCTCCCAATTACCTGCCCCTACCCAGTTATTGAAAAGGAGGGAGTTCCTTCCTCAATTTTCCATCCCCATCTCACCAAAATTCTCATATCTCCCAACCAAACAAAACACTTAATAGCCTCATCCCTCTAAACTCCCAATCCTTCCTAAAAACTCCCTCCAACCAAACAGGCCGCTAGAGTTTCACGACATGATAACCGAATCAGAAAAGTTTGGATCTGTCTCTCCATGCACGCGGTAGACAAAACTGGAAATTTTGAATCCGTTCGTGTCTTCCATATCTCGCGCGCGTTCGCGCAGTAGACCTCCCCACACCTACACACCAGCTGTATCCACTTTGCCGTGTTCATGTCAAAAATCATTTTCTTCACTTCCTACACAAATGCTATTAATATTAAGGCACATAGTACCTTGAAGGTCTTTAGGCAGTGGAAGGGCATCACGATCAAGAGAAATTTGTGGATTCATGCTGAACGAAATAAAAATTACTGACATATAGTTCTCACACATACGGTTTTTGTAATGCTCGTTAGATTTACTGTGAATCTCTAGGGATTCTGGTTTCTTTTATAGAAAAACATGCTATGGGGGACCTTTTCTTTACTGAAATACTACTTCCTAAAATGGGGGAGTGTTTTCATTATCAACTCTTTTGATATTGATACCACTTTGGAGTATGTAGTAATAGTCGTTTTGGAAATCATATGGATTTCTTTAGTGGCTTGTACATGAGCTAAGCTGCGAGCCTTGGCAGTATTCAGAGCATGGGTCCTGTAGTAAAGATGGAATGCTTGCATCAGTTTTCTAAAGTTTGTTGGATTTTCATGTGGATAAGAAAATTTAACTTCATGCTTACATTATATCAGGCTTCAAGGACAAGAACAAATTACTATGAATCACGTTCAAAGGATGCTGATGAGATTGATACTGGTGCTGTTAAAGTTTCCGAAGATTTCATTGTCTCTGATATTGCCATTCATCCAAGACATGCGAAGCAAATGAGACCACATCAGTTGGAAGGATTCAGCTTCCTGGTCAAGAATCTAGTCGGAGACAAACCTGGAGGTTGCATTCTAGCTCATGCTCCTGGTTCAGGGAAGACATTTATGCTCATAAGTTTCATTCAAAGCTTCTTAGCAAAGTATCCTTCTGCAAGGCCCCTTGTAGTGCTTCCGAAAGGGATTGGGAGTAGCTATATTTATGGCGCCATATTTTTTAACAAAAATTAGTCGGCATGTATTTACATTGTAAGTCCCTAAATTACATATGTATTTTTAGTGTTTTCAATGTAAGTCCCAAACTTACATATGTAAGTCCTAAAATTACATATGCTACGAGAAGAACACGTTGCAGAAATTGCTTACCTTCTTTAAATTGAAGAGCTTGAAAACAGGTTTTGGAAAAAATCAACTAGGCACTCTACAGCGAACCGGTGATACAAGGTAGAGTTCTCAATAGGAAGGGCTGGATCTATGTTGGCGAGCAGGGTGATGTCAGAAAAAATTACATATGTAAGTCCCAAAATTACATACTAATTTACATTTGTAAGTGGTGTGTAAGTAGGGTGTAAATTAGGTACTTGGAAGAGGGAGTTTCAGTGGTGGCAAGTGGAGGACATACCACTATATGATTTCTATTCTGTTAAGGCTGACAAAAGAGTAGAGCAACTGGAAGTCCTCAAATATTGGGAAGCCCAGATGAGCATACTATTTCTTGGATACAAGCAGTTCTCACGAATCATCTGTGGTGATGGAGATGGAAACATTGCAGCTGCGTGCTGGGACAGGCTGCTTATGGTACCCAACCTACTTATACTAGACGAGGGTCATACACCAAGAAATCGGGAGACAGATGTACTGGCATCACTAAAAAGACACCACGCAAAGTGGTCCTGTCTGGTACACTTTTCCAGAACCACGTTTCGGAAGTGTTTAACATCTTGGACCTTGTGCACCCTAAGTTTCTCAAGATGGAATCGTCCCGTCCTATTGCTAGACGTATAATGAGTCAGGTAGCAATATCAGGTATCAGAGTTTAAAAGGGGTTCATGACAGTGCATTCACTGAGTCAGTGGAAGACACCCTGCTGAATGATGACAACTTCACTAGAAAAGCCCATGTTATTAGAAGTCTTAGAGAATTAACAAAAGATGTGCTTCACTATTACAAGGGCGATATCTTAGATGAACTATCTGGCCTAGTGGATTTTAGTGTGTTCTTGAAACTCAGTAACAAGCTGAAAGAAATTGTTCACTGTTGGAATTAATAGATGGGCTAAGGCCCATTCGAAAATTAATTCTTTGGAAAATCACAAAAGCCAACCTCATGGGATGGCATGTATGTGGAGTTTAGTACCACCTTGCTTATTCTAGGAGAGGGGGACCTCCTTAAAAGAGAGGATGCCCTCCTAGCCACTTGAAGCATGTGTGGTGGAGAGAAGAGGGGCAACACGCGCGCGCTCGATTGCCTCGCTTGGCAGGCGGCGCGTGTGCATGATGTACGTGTCGAATGGTCCGAAAAATTGGCTCCTCACCCTTGCGCAGATGTAGCCTCCTTTTACAGTTTTGTTTTGCTGCAGGAAAATTCGGATTTGTTTTGTTGTTGAAAACATTCCGAAAAATCCGGTGTGTGAAAACGGCGTGGAGTCCGGATAAGTTACGCGCGACTTATCCGGCTCGGTTATGCAGAGTGGAGATCGTGCGGGCGCCCTGATCAAGTGACCTATCTCTATATAAACCGTGCCACCGCCTTCACGCAACACACGCGAAATCAATCTAGGGTTTGCCTCCTCCTCTGTGTTGCGCCGTCGCTCGTGGACTACTCCATCCCGCTCGCCAGCGTGCACCGGCGATCGGGAGAGCAGGTCTCCGGAACCTCTGCCTTCGACGTCCTGCACCGGGAGAAGGCGGCAATAAGGTTTTTGGGAAGCGCTTCGTGCGACTGCTCCCTGTTCAACCGCGACGGTTCGCCTTCCTCTCCGCTCGCGTGCTGCACGCCTTCGTCGACGCTCGCAACCGCAAGTAGTTCATGCCGAGCAACCGGTCTTTCCGCCACCTCGGTACGTGTTCGACATGTTGCGCATATTTGATCTGTTCATATTTTACTACTTAGTTTACATGTGTAGATCTAATGATGCGTTAATGCTAGTATACATCTGTAATGTCATGATTTATTTATGGAATATATTAAATCATTATATGCCTATATTCGCAACATTCCAAAAACCTTATTATAGACGCTGTGATTTTACTATGGCTGGTTTTGCCGATGCACTGAGGCCGGATAAATTTACCAGTGTGCACTTTAAGAGATGGCAGATCAGGGTCAATCTGTGGCTGACAGCTATGAAATGCTTCTGGGTAAGTACTGGCAAGCCTATGGGCGTTCTTAATGCTGATCAGCAGAAAGAATTCGATGAGGCCACTACTCTTTTTGTGGGATGCATTCTTAGCGTGCTTGGCGATCGTCTGGTCGAGGTGTATATGCATATGACCGACGCTACGGAGTTGTGGGATGCACTGAATACTAAATTTGGTGCTACTGATGCTAGTAATGATCTGTATATCATGGAGCAGTTTCATGTCTACAAGATGGCTGACAACCGTTCTGTAGTCGAACAGGCTCATAAGATACAAACCATGGCTAAGGAACTCAAACTCCTTAAGTGTGTCTTACCTGACAAATTTGTGGCCGGGTGCATTATTGCGAAACTATCTCCATCTTGGAGAGGTTTCGGTACTGCACTCAAACACAAGAGACAGGAATACTTCGTTGAGGGGTTGATAGCGTCTCTTGATGTTGAGGAGAAAGCTCGGGAAAAAGATGTCGCGTCTAAGGGCGATGGTGGGCAGTCCAGTACCAATGTTGTGCACAAGGCCCAAAACAAGAGCAAGGGGAAATACAAAGCTCAGCAGACCACCAACTTCAATAAGAAGAAGAAAAACAACAATCCTAATCAGGATGAGAGGACTTGCTTTGTGTGTGGTCAACCTGGCCATCTGGCCAGGAAGTGTCCACAACGCAAGGGGATGAAGGCACCTGCAGGACAGACCTCTAAGTCTGCTAATGTGACCATTGGCAACACTGGAGATGGAAGCGGGTATGGTAATTTACCTACTATTTTTTCAGTTAATCAGTCTACTAATTGGTGGGTTGATACAGGGGCCAATGTACATGTTTGTGTTGACATCTCATTGTTTTCTTCTTATCAGGTCGCACGGGGTTCCACCGTCCTAATGGGGAATGGGTCACATGCTTCTGTTCATGGTGTTGGCACGGTAGATCTGAAGTTTACTTCGGGAAAGATCGTGCAGCTGAAGAACGTGTAGCATGTACCTTCTATCGACAGGAATCTTGTTAGTGGCTCCCGTCTGACTAGAGACGGATTTAAGTTGGTTTTTTAGTCTAATAAAGTAGTCGTGTCTAAACATGGATATTTTATTGGTAAAGGTTATGAGTGCGGAGGCCTATTCCGCTTTTCCCTTTCTGATTTTTGCAATAAGTCTGTGAACCATATTTGTGGCAGTGTGGATGATAAGGCTAATGTATGGCACTCACGTTTATGTCATATTAATTTTGGCTTGATGTCTCGGCTTTCCAGCATGTGTTTAATTTCTAAGTTTTCCATTGTCAAAGGTTCTAAGTTCCATAGTTGTGTGCAATCAAAGCAACCTCGCAAGCCTCACAAGGCTGCTGAGGAGAGAAACTTGGCACCTCTAGAACTCCTACACTCAGATCTCTGTGAAATGAATGGGGTGTTGACGAAGGGTGGAAAACGATATTTTATGACGTTGATTGATGATGCTACTAGATTTTGCTATGTGTACTTGTTGAAAACGAAAGACGAGGCTCTAGACTATTTTAAAATTTATAAGGCAGAAGTTGAAAATCAACTTGACAGAAAGATAAAAAGACTTAGGTCTGATCGTGGTAGAGAGTTTTTTTCAAACGAGTTTGACTTATTCTGTGAGGAACATGGCATTATACATGAGAGGACGCCCCCCTATTCTCCCGAGTCTAATGGGATTGCTGAAAGGAAGAACCGCACACTGACCGACTTGGTGAATGCCATGTTGGACACCGCGGGATTACCTAAGGCATGGTGGGGGGAGGCATTGTTGACCTTGAATCATGTGTTAAACAGAGTTCCTAATAGAAATGAGGACAAAAACACCATATGAGATATGGATTTGGGAGAAAACCATCACTTTCTTACTTGCGCACATGGGGGTGCTTGGCGAAAGTCAATGTACCAATAACGAAGAAGCGCAAACTTGGACCTAAGACTATGGACTGTGTCTTTCTGAGATATGCTCACCACAGCATTGCCTATAGATTTTTAATAGTCAAATCTGAGGTACCTGACATGCATGTTGGTACAATTATGGAGTCTCGTGATGCTACCTTCTTTGAGAGCTTTTTCCCAATGAAGGATACACATAGTAGTTCTAGCCAACCCTCTGAAATAATTCCCAGTTCAATCACACCACCAGAACAAACTGAACATACACATGAACATGTTACTGAGGAGGATGACAGTGAACCTCCTCAAAGGAGCAAAAGACAAATGACGGCTAAGTCTTTTGGTGATGATTTCACTGTGTACCTCGTGGATGACACTCCTTAGTCAATTTCATAAGCATACGCATCTCCTGATGCAGACTACTGGAAGGAGGATGTCCGTAGTGAAATGGATTCCATTATCGCTAACGGGACTTGGGAGGTGACAGAGCGACCCTATGGGTGTAAACCTGTGGGGTGCAAGTGGGTGTTCAAGAAGAAGCTCAGGCCTGACGGTACTATTGAAAAGTACAAGGCTCGGCTTGTTGCTAAGGGCTATACTCAGAAAGAAGGCGAAGATTTCTTTGACACTTACTCACCTGTTGCTAGATTGACCACAATTCGTGTGCTACTTTCCCTAGCAGCCTCACATGGTCTTCTCATTCATCAAATGGACGTTAAGACAACTTTTCTTAATGAAGAGCTGGATGAGGAGATCTATATGGATCAACCTGATGGGTTTGTAGTTGAAGGTCAAGAAGACAAAGTGTGTAAATTGTTGAAGTCTTTGTATGGTCTGAAACAAGCTCCTAAGCAATGGCATGAGAAATTTGACAAAACATTGACATCTGCAGGCTTTGCAGTCAATGAGGCAGATAAATATGTGTACTATCGCCATGGTGGGGGTGAGGGAGTTATTCTGTGCTTGTATGTTGATGACATACTGATATTTAGGACAAACCTTGAGGTGATAAATGAGGTTAAATCATTCTTGTCTCAAAATTTTGATATGAAGGATTTGGGAGTAGCTGATGTTATCTTAAACATTAAGCTAATTAGAGGTGAGAATGGGATTACACTCTTGCAGTCCCATTATGTGGAGAAGATCTTGAATCGCTTTGACTACATTGATAGTAAGCATTCTCCAACACCTTATGATCCTAGCTTGTTGCTTCGCAAGAACAAGAGAATTGCAAGGAATCAACTGGAATACTCCTAAATCATTGGCTCACTGATGTACCTGGCTAGTGCAACTAGGCCTGATATCTCCTTTGTTGTGAGCAAGTTGAGCCGGTTTACCTCTAATCCGGGAGATGATCACTGGCGTGCGCTTGAGCGAGTAATGCGCTATCTGAAAGGTACTATGGAATTGGGGCTTCACTATTCTGGGTATCCTGCGGTACTGGAGGAATATAGTGGTTCTAACTGGATCTCTGATGTGGATGAGATCAAAGCCACTAGTGGATATGTCTTCACACTGGGTGGTGGTGCTGTTTCGTGGAGGTCTTGCAAACAGACTATTTTGATGAGGTCAATCATGGAAGCAGAACTGACGGCACTGGATACTGCTACTGTTGAGGCAGAATGGCTGCGTGATCTATTAATGGATCTGCCTATTGTTGAAAAACCGGTGCCGGCTATCCTTATGAACTGTGACAATCAAACGATAATTGTCAAAATGAATAGTTCTAAGGATAATATGAAATCGTCTAGACATGTGAAAAGACGATTGAAGTTTGTCAGGAAATTGAGAAACTCCGGAGTTATAACGTTGGATTATATCCAAACAGCTAGAAACCTGGCAAATCCCTTCACGAAGGGACTATCACGAAATGTGATAGATAATGCATCGAAGGAGATGGGTTTGAGACCCATGTGAGTTATACTATGGTGGTAAACTTATCTATGTGATCGGAGATCCCGTGAATTAGAACCTGGGAAGAACAAACCATTAGTAAACTAGAGGAGAGTACCAATCTATACCCTTTCTAAGTGAAGATGTATGTACTCTCGTGAGCTGCAAGGCAGGTTGGCTATGCCTTAATGAGTTCTGTTGGCTTTAATTAGCGAAGATGATGTCCTACAGAGCATTCTTGAAAGAACTTACCTTTGTAAGCTTGACTGTTGGTCGCAGTCTATGAAGATTTTGGGTGAATCTTCTAGGAAGCTTACGAAAGACCTAGGAGTATGACTTATACGCTCCACCCGAGGAGTAGTCTACAAACAGTCTAGTACCAGATAAGACTCTGAGTGAAACTTGCTTGCACAAGACTTGCAATTCAAGGCGTAGTCCATTGTTCAAGTTGTGAGTAAGTGTAGCTTGGAGTTCTAGGTGGATGTTCAACCTTAATCGGTCTCCATCGAACCGCTGGTATATAAACAGTACATTGGAAAAGGAAAATCTCAATGGGATTTTGAGATTTGGTGGGGGATTGTTGGAATTAATAGATGGGCTAAGGCCCATTCGAAGATTAATTCTTTGAAAAATCACAAAAGCCCATCTCATGGGATGGCATGCATGTGGAGTTTAGTACCACCTTACTTATTCTAGGAGAGGGGGACCTTCTTAAAAGGGAGGATGCCCTCCTAGCCACTTCAAGCATGTGTGGTGGAGAAAAGAGGGGGAACACACACGCGCGCTTGCCTGGCCTGGCAGGGCAGGGCAGGCGGCGCGCGTGCACGACGTATGCGTCGAATGGTCCGAAAAATTGGCTCCTCACCCTTGCGCAGAAGTAGCCTCCTTTTGCAGTTTTGTTTGGTTGCAGAAAAATTCGGATTTGTTTTGTTGTTGAAAACATTCCGAAAAATCCGGTGCGTGAAAACGGCGTGGAGTCCGGATAAGTTACGCGCGACTTATCCGGCTCGGTTACGCAGAGTGGAGATCGTGCGGGCGCCCTGATCAAGCGACCTATCTCTATATAAACCGTGCCACCGCCTTCACGCAACACACGCGAAATCAATCTAGGGTTTGCCTCCTCCTCTGTGTTGCGTCGTCGCTCGTGGACTACTCCATCCCGCTCGCCAGCGTGCACCGGCGATCGGGAGAGCAGGTCTCTGGAATCTCTGCCTTCGACGTCCTGCACTGGGAGAAAGCGGCAATAAGGTTTTTGGGAAGCGCTTCGTGCGACTGTTCCCTGTTCAACCGCGACGGTTCACCTTCCTCTCCACTCGCGTGCTGCGCGCCTTCATCGACGCTCACAACCGCAAGTAGTTCTTGCCGAGCAACCGGTCTTTCCGCCACCTCGGTACGTGTTCGACATGTTGCGCATATTTGATCTGTTCATGTTTTACTGCTTAGTTTACATGTGTAGATCTAATGATACGTTAATGCTATTATATATCTGTAATGTCATGATTTATTTATGGAATATATTAAATCATTATATGCCTATATTCTCAACATTCAAAAGACACGAGATAGAAGCTTATGAAAAGTTCAAAAGAAGTGCAGTGGGGACTGCATTGTACATTCATCCCTGCCTGTCAGAAATTTCAGAGGGTGATGCTGCAGATAGGGCGAGCAACTTGACAGATGCCACTGTTGACAGCTTGATTGAGTCTATCATCATTAAAGATGGGGTGAAAGCCAAGTTTTTCTTTAACATTATGTCTCTTGCTAACTCTGCAGGAGAGAAGTTGCTTGCCTTCAGTCAATATATACTTCCCATGAAATTTTTGGAAAGGTTGTTGGTTAAGAGGCTGGGCTGGCATGTAGGGAAGGAGATTTTCATGATATCTGGTGATACTAGTGCAGACGACAGAGAAGTGGCGATGGATCAGTTTAACAACTCTGCCGATGCAAAAGTTTTGTTTGGTTCCATCAAGGCCTGTGGAGAGGGAATCTCCCTTGTTGGTGCATCTCGAGTCATCATTCTAGATGTTCATTTGAACCCATCTGTCACCCGTCAAGCAATCGGACGTGCATTCAGGCCCGGACAGCAGAAGAAAGTGTTTGTGTACAGGCTTGTTGCTGCTGATTCTCCAGAGGTGAAGTTCCATGAAACTGCATTCAAGAAAGAAGTTATCCCAAAGCTATGGTTTGAATGGAGTGAGCTCTGCACTACTGAAGACTTCAAACTGAATCAAGTTGATATTGATGACTCTGAAGATGAACTATTGGAGGCTAATGCTATTCGCCAGGATATCAAGGCTTTGTATAGAAGGTCAGCTATCTCTTTCTCCCCGTGCGCATGTGCAAGTTAAACCCTGGAGATGCTCTCTCTGTCTTATCCAAAATTGTCTTGTAGGTAACAAGTTATATGTGGCTGCTGTACACCATGTACATAATGCAATGCTGATCTTTCTGGGTGATCATCGCTGTGAAGTAAGGGGATTTCTCGTGAATCATTCTTCACGTTACAAAATCTTTGCCCCTTATTCTGTTCTGATTGTATGACCATCAGCTTTTTCGTTAACCTTCATCATTTTTCTTCCTTCAGGATGTTACAGTAGCCCCTTCTAATGCCGGAGTTCCGTTCATGCTAGGATTTATCGTTAACCTCGGTCGTTTCCCTACCTATTTGAACCACTGTCCGCTTTGTTAACATGTGCCAGCTTGGCGCAGCGGTTCGCGAGCTGATCCTAGTCTTATTTCCTTCTGAAGATCTCCAGGACTAATAACTATGGTTTCTGCCGTTCCTGCTAACAACTTAAATAATGCCACTGTTTCCTTACCTGTCTTTTGTGCACTTCAATTGGTCTTCAAATTTGCCCTTTTTGATAGGGTAAAGATAGTTTCTTTCTGCGCGTAACGGAATGTAGGTTATCCGTCGTGCATTTGTGCATCTCTTTTATCTCCTTTGTTGCAGTACCTGGTTTTTGTGTCGACCATTCTAGTTTCAATTCTGGCTCCCATGAAAGATGCTTTAAGACTCGCAATGCCAGGATGCATACTTTTTTTTTATGCATACTCGATCGTTGGCTCGTTGCACTCATCGACTCCAGATCAGTTGCCAGCGGCAACTAATCTCTCAAAGGCCTGGCGGTTGTGTTCACCTGGTGCTGGTGCATCCGAGGGTGACGACAAGGACAGGGGAAGAGGAGCTGTTTGTACTTTTGCAGGGCCCGCTTTTTTTCAGCTTAGAAGCATAATATCACCTGATTGTTACGAATTATTTGCTTCATGTTTAAGAATAATAATTTCTCATGAAACTTTCTTTTACTTTATTGCCCAGACCACTTGTTTTAAACTACAACTATTTATTATGTTTAGATAATATGCAATATTTAATGTATTCATATTATTAATTTATCTGCAATAAAACAAACACTAGCCTAGAGCGAGTAGGAAGAGCGGGCTGCTGGAGTGCTTGCGGGAAAGGAATTGGGCCGCTGTGGGGTTGACGTTGACATATGCCCACTGGTAGGAATAAGTTCACTTCAGATCCCTCGATTTGTCACCCAGTCCGATATTCATCCTTGATTCGAAAAACTAGATATAACTCATCCCCCAACTTACAAAACCATGCAAACAAGGTCCCTCGGTAGTATTCTCTGATTTTGGCTGACGTAGCACACACGTGGCACCTTTGACTAGGTCTTCGTCTCACGTGGCATTGACGTGGTGCTTACGTGGTAGTTTGATAAAAAAAAGAACAAAAATTAGAAACTAAAAAATAAAGCAAAATATGCAGGACCCATATGTCAGTTAAAAAAAGGGGGACTCACATGTTAGTGGGTCCCACTTCCTCCATCTCACCCTCTTCTCCTCTCTTCCAATCCTCTCATTTTCTCCGAGGAACCGGGCGGGAGCGGGGGACGACAGGGTTGGCAAGGGCCTGTCGGCGGCAGCGGCGGCGTCGAAGCGGGTGACCACTGGCTAGGGTAGTGGCGCCGCCGCATTTCCTCCACGCGGCGAGGATGGAGGCAGTGGGAGACGGGGTCAGAAATCGCTCAAAATCCCCCCGATTTCACCTTCGCGTTTCCCAGAGATGGACGTTGGCGTTGGCAGCGAAGAAGGTAGTGGGGCGGAAGCTGGGTGGGCCGAAGAAGCCGGTGCCACGCTCCGTCAAGGCCGGGCTCCAGTTCCTCGTAAGCCGCTACCTCGAGAACGGCCGGCACGCGCAACGCGTCGGCACTGGCACCCCCGTCTACCTCGCTGCCGTCCTCGGGTACCTTGCCGCAGAGGCAGGGGGTTTTAACTATTTGCCACTTTTAGATTTGGCAAATAACTATTTGCCACCCCTATCTCAATGACATGTGGGTCCACATGTGTCTATGACATGTGGATCCAATGGCAAAAAGTTAATTGCCACATCTAAATGTGGCAAAGCCATTGTGTTTATCTCTTCCTCTCCCGATCCTTCCAACCCACTCGGTGTGCAAGCGTGGTTTAACCGGGATGGGATGGCCGACGGGTGGCGAGGAGAGGGCGTTGGCCGGCGGGGAGAAGGGACGGCGCGCGGCGGCCGACGGGAGAGGAGCAATGCGGGCTGGTCCTGCAGCGTAGCTGTGGCGGCCGCGGCGAGGAGGAGGGAGGGGAGTAGCAGCAGCGCGGGGACACCCATGGCTGTCGCGGCGACGGCGGCGAGGTGGTAGGTTGGATGGGATTGGGTTTGTGCTCTGCTCTGTCTCGTAAGAGTAGAAATGGAGGTGGGCGAGCCGCCCTTGCCCCCATCTTGCCTCCTCGCTGCCATGGTAGCGACGGCGGCCACCACCACCGTTCACCTCGCCAAGTTGCTCCCGTCCCATCCCGCCTCCACTCCGCCATGGCAACAGGGGCGGCCACCACCACCGCTCAGCTCACCACCCTGCCCCCATCTAGCCTCCTCGTGGCTATCTCTCCCCCTCTCTCGCCGGCAAGGCGGCGCCCTCTTTCCCCTCTCCCGCCGGCGAGATCGACCGTCTCCTCCCTCTCCCGCCGGCACGGCTGACCCCCTCCGAGGATGCGCGCGTGTGTTGGCGAGACACATTCATCCCACCGCCGAGATGCCGAGGTCGATGTCGACGTCGTCCACGGCCAAGGTCGCGGTGGCCCCGTCGCCGCCGGGATGGTTCCCTTCTCCTCGTAGCTCCTCTCCCGACGGCCCGCCGTGCGTTTCCCTTTCTCCCCGCCGGCCACCGCCCTCTCCCCGCTGTCCATTGACCGTCCAATCAGGAGAGAGGAGAGCGGAGAGAGATGAAGAGAGGGGAGATGGGGAGATAGGAGGGGAGTGAGAATGACATGTGGGGCCCACGTGGAACCCACCGTTTTTAATTATTATTTTTGGTGTAACTGATATGTGGACCCGCGATTTTTATTATTTTCCAAATCAAATTGCCACGTAAGCGTCACGTCAATGTCACGTGAGACGAAGATCTTGTCAAATTAGCCATGTAGGTGCCATGTCAGCCAAAACAAGAAACAATACTACCGAATGACCTTATTTGCACTCGTTTTGAAAGTTGGGGATCCTTTATATCTGGTTTTTGGGTTAAAGGATGAAAATTGGATTTGGTGCCAAATTAAGGGACCTCAAATGAACTTATTCCCCAATGGTACTCTTGATCACCACACTCAAAAGTGGAACATAGTCTGTTTCAAAAGGAGTCTGTTTCAAAAGGAGTAAATTATGTTTGAGGTAGTTGAACTTAAGAGATAGGTGTATTTTAGCTGGAATTTTTTACCTTTTGATCCTTTTAGAAAACCTATTTTATAAATAGGCCCCTAAAAAGGTATTACAGAAATGATCCTTTTCATGGGCGCTAAACGCCATTGGTACCGTGATCCAAATATATTTGTAAAAAAAATTACAAATATATCTTTGACGCTAGTGCTATTGCTGTCAAGAACTATTTGTAGATATATTTTATTCAAAATAGGTCATTTTCTATTACAAATAGGTCTTGAGCAGCATCAATGACTTAGCTTCCACCGAGGGGTAAGGGGATGGCGGCCGTCATGTTGGACCACAACGCTAATAATGTGACGCTGCGAAAAGGATCTATTTTTGGAATGATTCTTTTTAGGTCTATTTGTAAAATAAGTTTTTCAAAAGAATTAAAAGGTGAAAATTCCAATGTATTTTAGTGCACGAATATGTAAAACGACTATTCTAATATATAAATTTATGTGGTACATAGGGAATAAGATCAGAACGGTGCACCATTTTATAAAGTTCTGTACTATATTTTGTACCCACATTGTAAATTTATGTTCCGCCACCACAATTTTCTCAAATTAATACTCTTAATCAAGACTCCTATAAAATAAAGTACTACTCCCTCCGTTTCATATTGTAAGACTTTCTAGGATTGCCATATTCATATAGATGTTAATGAATAGATATATATGTGTCTAGATTTATTAAAATCTATATGAATATAGACAATGCTTGAAAGTCTTACATTGTGAAATGGAGGAAGTACCTGTGTTTCTTTTAATTATTGTTTTCAACGTCAACACGATCTCTAACATACATGCCTCCTGATTAATTATATGTTTATAAAACATTAAAAATAAAACTTTTTTCATGCAAATCTATTAATATCGTTATCACATATTAAATTGTGATGTTTTAATTTATTAATGATTTAAGATATTGATGTGACAACATCAAAAGAATGAAGGGGTGCTTGGTTTACTATCATACGTTTCGCACGGGTATTATATAGAGTGTCGCATGGGGTTTTCGGGCACTAATAAAAAAACTAATTATAGAATCCGTCACTAAACTGCAAGACGAATTTATTAAGCTTAATTAATCCGTCTTTAGCATATGTTTACTGTAGCACCACATTATCAAATCATGGAGCAATTAGGATTAAAAGATTCATCTCGTAAAGTAGTGGCAATCTGTGCAATTAGTTATTTTTTTAGCCTATATTTAATACTTCATGTAGATGTTCAAACGTTCGATGTGACAGGATGAAAAATTTTAGAGTGAGATCTAAACCGGGCCCAAATCATGCCACGCTTATGTCATATCATAGTTTTTCTAGCTCTGGGTCCACATGCCATGTACATAATTTTTTTGAAACAATCGAAGAAATACATATCATTGACAAATACCCAAATTCAAGAAATACCATCGATGAGTGTGAGTATCGTAACTACCATCATACAAGTGATTTTTATCAAAGAAATACCATTGTCGTTAGGGTTCCATTCATCCGACACCATTAAATACATGAGAAATTTAACAATATGCCACTCCATAGAATTGGCTTTAACAGGATGCCACCCCATGGAATGTCCTTATAAAAATACCAGTCCATAGAGGATGCTTCTTAATGAAATTCCACTTTGGGGTGATTAGAGAATCTGTGTGACATGTGCTGCCCGCAAAAAATATCCACGTCTACTCGCCCGCGTCCTCTCCCCCCCTCCCCTCCCCTCCCCTCCCTCCTCTCCCCCTCCTCCTCACCGCCGGTGCCGGCGCCGCCGCCTCCCCCCGCTGCCACAGCAACGGTCACCGCCTCCGCCATCTCCGGCCTCCACTTCGCCTCCTCGTCGTCATCCACAGAGCTGATTCCCTCACCTCTCATAGAGAGAGCCTGTTCGCGTTGCTACTCGTGTCTGATCCCCCACCTCCCGAGCCGCTCCAAGAGGTGCTCGCCACTAGCGACGTCCACGTCGCGCTCCCCTCTTCGCCGTCCCCACCACTCCTCCCTCCCCTCTTCACCGTCGCCGTTGCGCTCGCCGAACACCCCCGCACCCGCCTCGGCGCCGGGCTGTGTGGAGCCAGCGGGCGAGATGTGGCCCGCCGCCGTGTCCCTCCGCCTGGGAGCCAACGCCGGCGGAAGCGCGGACGGGCGACGGCAGCCAACTCCGGCGGGCGCGTAGAAGGGCGACGAAAGCGATGGCCGAGCGGGGGAGCAGCGGCGATGACTCCGGCGGGCACGTGGACGGGAGCCGACGCCGGCGGGCGCACGGACAGGCGACGACTCAGGCAGGCGCGCCTAAGGGCAATGAAAGCAGTGGCC